CCCTACAAATTCTACCCTCAAATAATTAACTTCACAGAATCACAGAATACAAAAATGGAAGAGACCTCTGGGATCATCAAGTCCAACCTTTGCCCTAACACCACCATGTCAACTAGACCATGGCACTAAGTGCCACGTCCAGTCTTTTCTTAAACACCTCCAGGGATGGTGACTCCACCATCTCCCTGGACAGCCCATTCCAATGCCTAATGACCCTTTCTGTGAAGAAATGCCTCCTAATGTCTAACCTGAACTTCCCCTGATGCAGTTTGAGACTATGCCCTCTTGTCCTGTCACTGGTTACCTGGGAGAAGAGACTGACCCCCTTCGCTACAGCCTCCTTTAGATAGGTCTCCCCTCAGCCTCCTCTTCTCCAGGGTAAACAACCCCAGCTCCCTCAGCCGCTCCTCATAAGACTTACCCTCCAGACTGTTCACCAGCTTCGTTGCCCTTCTCTGGACTCACTCCAGCGCTTCAATGTCTTTCTTGAAGTACGGGGCCCAAAACTGAACACAGTACTCGAGGTGCGGCCTCACCAGTGCCAAGTACGGAGAGAGTTTAACATCAATACAACATTGTATAGCATTCTCAGAGCAGCATTTTCTGCTTTCTTCAACATTGTTCAAAATGACATTGCTTAGACATCTGCAGAAAACTTCATAGATAAGAAACTTTCACATTTACCAGCTGTGGTCACTGCCAAACTGAGGACCCTACTGATGGTGCATTTGTGGGATTGCTTCTGATTTTCTAATTGTGTGGCTCATACATTTCAGGTAGGTCCGTTTAGGATGAAACAGGACTATCTGTATTCCTTGTTGGCATATTATAATTTGCCAATGTCAGCAGTTTCACTTCATGCTAAACTTCAACATTTCACATTTTGCCTTTATTCTGAGTCAGTTTTAAAGAGAATAAGTGAAATAAAATTTTTATGGAAATAACCTTTTAATATTTTTTTTCCTTTACCTTATTTCATAGCACTCAAGAAGTAGTAGCACATGACAAGGATATAATATACCATCTCAAATCATGTCCTAGCAGGACCTGTGATGTTGTTCTTACGATTTCAACAAGATTAGAAGATAAGCAGTTAGCAATATCTCTGCATAAGTTCTGAATATTGAAATTAATTGTTCGTCTTATTGGCACAGTGAGGCCTGAGCTTTCCATATTCAAAGTATAAATCGAATGAAGACATAGATATATTTCTCCTTTTGGATTTAAAATTCTCGTCAGCATTAAATGAATAAAGAGATGAAAAATATATCTAGGAGAAGAACCCAGTATTATAAACGAAGAGTTTATATATATATGTGCAGTCACATGTATTTCTTTATTCCTTGTAAAATCTTGTTGTATGTTTGCTTACTGCTTCATGCCTTCATTTAATAAATAATAATGTAAAAAGTCTCTACTTGAAGAAACTTGTTTGATCTTTCTAAGAAAATTATGAGCATGTATGACTACTAGCAGTGTGAAAAGCATGGGTTCGTATTATGAGAATACCTCATAGAAGCTACTCATTTTATATAATAAGTGGTAAGATAGTTGGTAAACATTTGTCAAGCATGTCATTAAAATGGGAAATTATTTTTCAAACAAACTGGGTTTGTAAAGCTGCCAAGAAGGAGGAAAAGAAAAGGAAAAAAGAATAGATGGGGTAATTATTAACATGGCTTATCTTACTTTTATTAGACAGCTTCCCATGAAAGATAAGAAGAATTGGGGGCTAAAGTAGCATGTATTACATATATATATGTACATGCACATATGCAGCTCTTCCATATTGCAGTGGAAGGAGATGGAGACCTGCAGAATCTCAGAAAGGCTGAATTTCAGAAGCTCTTGAGAAAAGATCCATACTGTTCTCCAGAGCAACCCCAAAAACTCATGTAACCCAGGGAGGAAATGCAATTTCCTAAGCTGTCATGAATGGACAATGCACATCCACTTGGCCCTGTTTTCCTTGCATAGTCAAGGTATTTCCACTGTAGTTTCATCATAGTTTTTATCTAACTTTGAATTTTTTTTCATCTTAAAATGGTTGAATACATTCTTAGCTCATATAAAAATACTCAGTAGTTTATAAAATGAGGTAATTGTATGCTCCCCCTTTTCCTGGATTGCCCTGACGTCAGGCTTTGAGGGTTTTTTCCATCTTTGAAAAACAAAGCAGCACCCAAGTACCCAACTTCTTTTTCCACAGAAAATTTACATGACCATGTCTGTCCCACTGGGAAAATAAATGTAATGTTGAGTTTGATTCATGTGATTTGTCAATATATTTAAAATAAATTGAATCATTATGATTTTTTGGATGTGTGTTGGGACTGTGGCCAACCCAAGACATAACCAGCACTGTGAATGATCTCTGTGGCCTGGAAGATGAAGTTCCAATTTAGCAATTCTGGCCTGACCAAAAAGGCATTTTGTCCCCTTAGAGGAGATAGGAACTATCTTTCTGTGCTTCATGACTTTTTTTTTATAGGGTGAGGACCAGTTAGGCAGCATCCCTTCTGGACAGCAGAATGAATGATAGGAAAAGTGATACCATGCCACTTGGTCAGTGGAAAATGATGTGATCACCATGGAAGTGCTGTAGAAAGCTAACACCCACACTGTCCATTGTGCGATTGCTGTGTCACACTTAATGGCTGATTGGTTTGTTTTCCTCTTATTTAAAGGTAGTGTTGCTTCAGGGTTAGTTTATGACACCGTTCCTCCCTTGGCAGGAGAGTGGCACCAAGGAACTGCAACACTGGTGGGGAAGGGTTTGGATGTGCCCTTTCTGAAGGTGGTTGAGTGTTGAGAGACCCCAGAGTGTTCTGGGCTGGGGCTCTATGGAGGGGTTTATCACAGTCTCAGCTTTCATTAATGCTGTGATAACATTAAAGGTTTTGACCACAGGCCACTGTTTTGTCAACCATAGCAGGATTTGAACTCTACACTAAACTTCTGTCTGCTTGTTGCTGCTCATCTTTTTGCCACTGTTTCCATTGAGGAGCTGTGTCAGAAGTTGTGGCAGAGGGAAATTTTAAAGAATAGCCAAATGTGAAAGGCTCTGGACAGATTACAGGGCCTCGGAGTATTTTCCTAATGTACAAGATTTTAAAAAAAATTTTTCTAACTGACAAGATTTTTTGAAAAATTCAAAAAAAGTTTGAATGTATTTTCTTTTATTTTCTGCTCCTTTTGCTTTAGCTCAACAGGCATTTTAGTTTTGGAAGATCACGATAACATAGCAGATATATTTGGACTCCTTTAAGCAAAATATCCCTTGGAGAATAATTTTCTTTATGTCAGTTCAAAGACAACTTACTAAACTCTACGCTGTAACTATTACGGGCTTCAGGAAAGAAAAAAGTAAAACATTTGGAACGTTAAAATTTACCTTTATTTTAAACAGTTAGTTTAGTGAAAGCTATTGTTTGCTCTAATAGTGGTTACATGTAGGCTGCTGCATCACTTGTGATGGGGCAATTTTGTTATATAGACACAAACCATGGCAGGATTCGATCCTTCCTGGAATATGCTGACATACTCTGACACGTGCATGACCACTGTTGTCAGCTGTAGTCTCCATTCTCTATTTTTCTTGTAACTGAATTTATATTGAAGGCAGGCACTGCAGTCAGCTGCAGTGATCTTTTTCAACTAGAATGTTGCATGTCTGTCTGCATCGTAAAGGCCCTAGAAAACTGTGCCTTCGCATGTTATTCCTATGTCAGTTTATGAAAGGGTAGAGGGTGCCTCTGAAAAGCAAAACATAGAAATTCAATGTTTTGTTTGGCTTTTGCCATATTAGGATCTAATATTTATATGTTAAGTGGTATGCTGCAGTTGCTATTTGCTTCTTTCCTCTGCTAACGTGGGAAAAATATAAACAGTAACTAGGGGGTTAAATTTCTGCTCAACAGGCGTATTTTTGGATTTACAATTTTGTAAGAGAGCTCAGAGTGGAGCTCAGTGCTTTACAGCGGAGGGAAGCGTTGCGTGACAGAACCGAGCGTCTGAGGGAGACGTGGCTCGCAGCAGACATACATGAGAGGAATGAGATGCTGTACCAGCTCTTCCAGTTTCACAGGGACCTTGCGTTTTCCAGCTGTTTACCCTTGAGATGTAAAATGGCAATTTGGCATAGGCTAACAACCCGGTGTGATGTGAGCATCTGCGTAAAAGGCTGCACATATGGAGCATGCCCAGTGATATGAACAGCCTGTTACCCCACCCCCAGCCAATCTAGGAAGAGATGAAATGAACTTTGCACTTGCAAATGTCACTGAATACATTTTGCACAGGATTTTAAAAGGTTCTCTTATAAGCACTATTTTTAACAGCCAAATCCACCCCCTAAAACAGAAAGGAAAAAGCCCTAGGTATTTTTCTGTGATCGATCTCAGTTTATGATCAACTGAAGCATCTCTCACAACATTTACCTGTAGCCTGGTTTATTTTACATTTTTATCATTCAAGTTGACATTTTTGGAGGTGGTGTGGATTTTTTGGATTTTTTTTTTTTTTTTCCCCACATGAGAAAATTTGAGAATTTAATTGCTGTAGAATACTTGGAAACAGTGAGGCTGCAAGCTTGAAAGGCAGAGGGAAGAGAAGGAAGGCTCTCACAGCAGAGCATGGATAGGAAAGGAGCAGTGATTCTGCGGTGCTCAGTGTGCACATGTTTTATGAGATCAGTGCCGGGCGCTGCAGCTGCGGACAATAACTGAGCTGTCTGGCTAATGAAGGCCACCTGGATCAGGCTTCTGAAAAGAGCCAAAGGAGGACGTCTGAAGAATTCTGATATCTGTGTAAGCCCTATGTTTTCATTATCAGTATATGTTATATGTATTGCAGAGAGGGAGGGAAAAAAAGATGGTGAGGAGAGGACAGTTGTTTTCATTCTGATTAAATTAGCAGAACTCTATTTCGTATGCAGGAGGTGCAGAGGGAAAGCAGAGCTGTCATTATTTATAGAGCTGTTCTGGCATTGTGGCTGCTTCCATTGTGGCAATATGGGGACATGTGTTGAGTCCAGACGGATTTTATTAGTTGGAAGTTGATTTGTGGTCATTTGCATGTTTTGCTGAGGGGCAGAGATGGATACGAGCCATTTGCAGTTCTGATGGGGAAAGTGTGTCAGGTAAAGAGGTTACCCTAAAATAAAAATGGATAGCAGAGGTTAAATCTGTTAGCAGTGATATTGTGTAATGGTAATTATTGATACTGAATTTGTGTTTTGATTGTAAAAAATCTGTTTCCTTGCTCATACTGACACTATTTAGAGTTTTAGTTTTTATGGAGCCATCCTTGAAGCTGCTGTGTGTCCTTCAGCCCTGCACTGCACCACTGCTGTAAACTCTACAAAGCAACTGGCTCTGCTTGCTGAAAAGCATACAAATAAGAGTACGGGGATAGTGCAGGAAATAAAACACTGGGGAAGGCACCTGCACTTTTGGAAAGTCTCCAGAAGAAAACTACCTAGGCGTAATTTTTCTAAGTGACTTTCCCTTTTGGGCAGTTATTCTCTTTTCAGAGATGCAGAAGTAAGAGAAAAGGCAGGCTGCATAACCACATAACCACTTCTACTTTTTTTTTCCTTTTTTTTTTTTTCCCAACATCAAAACAACTTGTGACATTCTTTTTCCTTCTCTTGCGAAGGGTTCGGCGGACTCCTACACCAGCCGTCCATCTGATTCAGATGTATCTCTGGAAGAAGACAGGGAAGCAGTGCGGAGAGAGGCAGAGCGACAGGCCCAGGCACAGCTGGAAAAAGCAAAGGTAAGGTGGTGTTTCATGTCACCGACTCATAAAATGTTCAGCTTTAAAGGACTGTCATCCCATCCATTACTGATACAAATGTTTTTAATGTGTTATCATATAGCATAAAACCTCTTATAAAGATTTTCCACACAGCAGTAGAAAATGTATTTTCTGGGAAAAATCAGTTAGAATCAGTTTTCCGTAAAAGGCACCTGATTAGCTTGTATATTTCAGAACAATCTTATTTATATGTGTGCATTTCTTCTTTTATTGAATATACACTGCAATAAATGCATATAGGGTTAAAGCTTTGAGTTCTTACTGAAGATGTTTGTGAAAGTTTGCCCATGGATTCACTATGGCACTCAAAACTTACAGTTCAGGGAATCAGCCCTCAGACGTCCTATTCATCTTCCTTCAATGAAGGATCAGTCCCTAAAAGTCATATGTAAATAGGGAGAATCTGTTACAAAGGTCTTTTTTTCCTGAAGACTTCACTGACTTTCTTTACACTTCGTGTATTAAATGACCCCATGAGTAATATGCTCTATGACTTGTTAAGATTTCTCCTTCTGCCTCCATACTCTTGGCAGGTAGTGACAATTTAGTAAGGAAATACTAAATTAGCTTCAGGTTCTTGGTGTGTATTTATGTATTTTCCATGAGATGCATATAGGACTTTGAGGGTTTTAGCAGTGAAAGGATATGGGCTTGTTTTTCTTTGATCCATGCTGTATCTTTAAATACTATTGCACCTGTAAAAATCACTCATCTCATTTGTTATCATTCATTTAATACTTCATTCCAGTTTTTCTTTTTTGTACGCTATCTGCTGATCTCAGTGTATTACTGTTTTCCATTTTCATATCTTATATTTAAATACAGTATTGAGATCCCTCCTCAGATCTACCTGATCTGCATTTCTCTCTCACTTTCTCTCCAACTCCCCTCCTCCATTTTGCCTTATTTTTTATTTCCTTGTCTCCCGTTCTGTTTCCTTTTCCGCTGCCAGCTTTGCCTCTGCCCATTTAAGCCCCCTGTTTTACAACGGTTCTTCAGAAATTCAGGAGTCCAGATCATTGAGCTATGCACCTGATTGTATGGCAAGGACTAGCTCCATAAATACTACTGTACGATAATGCACAAGGAGACAGCTTTGTCGAGCCAGAAAAGTTGAACAGCGAAGCCAAAGATGGTTTTTTAAAAAATGTAATTGTTGACCAATATTTAATAAGAGCTCCTAAAGCAACTTTTTAATAAGATGCTGAAACTTGCTAACCATAGGAGGTGCTGAACACCTCTTTGAAGTTGGGTCCTGCTGTCCTGGGATCAGTATAGCAGAAATGCCACAGAAGCAGCCTGCTTCTTCTGTTCCACCTTGTATCTTGGAGATGTTGCTGATCATAATCAGGGGGTTCAGTTTTATAGGGTTGCTTTTTGCTAGTTTGAGATTTCTTTGCTCTTAGGAAAGATAATAAAGGCTACCCCGAAATTCAGGTGAAGTGTTGAATTTTATCAGTAAATGTACAATCTTTAAAAGAAGAGTTGAAGTACTAATATGTTGCAGACTAATCAGGGCAGCAGTACAGCACTTGCTGCTGAACTGATGCATCTCTTAGCAATGAGTAAATCTATGTGAGTGTTGCTATGGGAATTTGGCTTACTGATGCTGGCTTGGATGCATGGACAGCCCTTATGTAATATTCATGACCTCTAGCACAGCTGCCATTGTAGTTTGTAGAGAAACTGCTAGCAGACCCTGACTTTTTAAAACTGTATTTCTATACATCAAAGCAATGTTCTCACTCCAGCTGGCATAAGATATAGTCTCTAGGTCTGACACCATCTGAGACTGTAAGACAACTTGTGAACAGTCAAAGTAGCGAAGTCACTGCCAAAATCAACCTGCTGTAACAATGGGTAATTCCAGTCATATAGAAAACACAAAATGAATTATTGAAATTGTTTGTGCTTTAAAATGGATTAAAGCTGGAACTACTGTTTTGTTTCTTGAGTCAAATGTTAAAAATCATTCCAGGCTGTAATGTATGGAAGTAATTTTAGGTAGCATCTATAGTAGTGTAATATTTAGTCTGGTGTAATATTTAAGCTAGTAATAGTAAATAAAATATTATATGCATTTGATGCTTACATTTGAAATGAATGTTTAAAAAGACGTAAATTAACCTATATAAATTAAACCTAACCCGGTAGATCTAAAATATGACAGGGTGTGCTTCTCTGCCTTTATTGGTGATTCAGTCCTTCACCTCCCTGAAACACAGTAAAATTAATGAAGCGGTAGCTTCTCTCGGTGCTGCCTGGCTCCTGTGTGCACCCAGACCTGTTTCCGCAGGCAGCAGGTTGTGCTGCCTGCTCCCCATGGCTGCCTCGCCTTCGCCCTGGCCGGCTGTCAGGCAGAGCCTGGTGATGCAGCTGCTTTAACTTTTCGCCTGTTAATATTGTGAGTGGAAGTGTTGATCCTAAATAAACTCATTACAATTGTCTTTGTCACAGGAATTAGAAGAGGATGACATACATGAATAATGCAGTGGTGCAGGGAAAATGATAGTGAATTAAGGGTAGATAAAAAACTGTTCAACTATGTCACGCACTTAATGAAAACAGTTTGATGACATCCATTTTCCTTCCTTACAGCTAGGGAAAACACCTTAAACTGAAGAGAAAATATACTAATAAAGCACACAATGGCAAATTGTTAGGAGGATTTTAAGATTTTTAAATTTGGATTTTGATGGATTCGAAGTGTTTGTGTAACATGAAGCCAGAATATAATATGCATATCTGATACGTATCCAAAGAGGGAAAATAAAAACAAAAAGGCTTGTAAGAAAACACCCGATCTGGCCATATTTATTTATTTATTTATTTTATACAAGCATTGCTTCTCTGGAAAATGGTTAAGCATATTTTGCTGACTCACTTTGGCATGTGACTTGCTGTGAGGGAAGGTGGGGCCACGGGCACAATTTCAGAGTTGCCCAGCGACAGAAAATTAAGAGGCAACTGATGAGAGGCTACCTGCAGGCGAGCAGCTAATCCCAAGGGAAACAAATCTTCAAATGAAGCTGTTAGCTTGAAGCCGAGATGTGATGTTCTTCGTTAGAACAGTTTAGCAATGCAAATGCAGAAATATTGTTCTTTGTTTTGTTTGTGTTTGTTTTTTATTAAAAACACCAAACCTTTCAAGACATTAACGATTTCCTTAGTATCTTCCTCATAGTCCATAGTACGTGCCTGTCTCTAGGATAAAGAGGACCTGTGTTGTGGCTGAGTAGGGCATACTGACATTCACATGCCAAAAAATAAGAAGCACAATGACATTAATTACTTTTAGTGTTCATATTTTAAAAATTGTCATTTCTATAGAAAAAAAGCTTTTTAGTTTTGAAGGGTGAGGATTAAAAATAAATGATAGTAAGTAAAGATTTTTTTTTTGTCCATTCCTTGCAAGTATTCAATTAATTATCCCTGAAAATACTGCACCGAGTGAGAAGGATGAGATCAAAGGAAAACCGTGAGGTACAAGTTGTAGTGAGACCTTTAAATTTAGTACTAAATGAGCTGAGGTTTGTACATAAGAAACAGGACTTAAATAATGATTTCTGGCTCTCTCCAATGCTGGTAAAATCAATTCAAATATTCTGTTTATTTATTTTACCTTGAGTGCATCATATGTTATGAATTAGTTTTTGACTGAAATACAATTAGTCAGGTGGTCTGTAAACATCTCTTCTGCAAGAGTAACACCTTTCTTCTCTTCAGTCTCTTCTGTTCAAATTTTTGGACTTTGCCTCTTTTTTTCTCCCATGACTTTAGAACTCCTTATGCAGAGACAATTTTAAAACGATAGCTATAGAATATTTTCAGCATTTTGGAAAATTAAATATTTTTTTCCATTTTTTTCTAATACATTGGGTACTGAAAGTGCTAGTTAATAATCCAGGTTCTGTTTCTCATCTGGGACTAAGGGACAGCCCTGTGCTCTTAGTTCTGTGTTAAGAATTGTTCTCAACATCCTTTGGTCCTGAAACTTCTTAAATGACTGTCGAAGTCAGATCGTGGCCTTCCAGAATTCAGTAATTGTGTCCATAATAGGAAATCTGAATTCCTCTCAGCTCTGCTTTGTTTGCACTCCTAATGCTTTACTGCTAGCATGCTTTTAGGAGTTTGTTAAAGCTTGAAATATACATAGTCCCAGTTTAAAATGCTATTTAAATAGTTTTTATGTTAAGATGCTGAAGCACCGAAATTTTGATCCCTTTGCTGGCTCTTAGGCAATAGTATAAACTGTCGTGTTTTGCTTTCTTGATGTATGCTGTAGTAGTGGTGATGGCTTGTGACTGCGAGTAGTAATGCAATGTCTTAAGTGTAATGCATTGCCTCCATGCATGGGTTGGGGACCACAGCTTTGAAATGCGTAGCAGACTGGGATAATGCCTACATATCCCTGCAAGGCTGAAGGCATGAAAAAGATTGTCAGATGTAATTATCCAGTGCAGTGTGCCAAGACTAGTTATTTAAGTATTTATTCATTCTCAGACAGGTTTCACAGCCTCTGAATGACCCCATGCTGCTAGCAGGCAGCTGCAAAACTAGTTAAGGTATGTCTACTTAAGCTGCAGCAGCATTTTTGACAGACTGGAAATGCCCATCACCTTGATGTCTGTCCTTATATTATGTCAGTTTGTTCTGTCATGGAGACTCTATTTTCTCTCGATTACAAGGACATCATGGTGCTGAACAGCACCCAAAACCATAGCAACATAGGGTAGTACTTTGTGTTAGCTGTTGTGTATGGTAATATTCTTTTCATTGATTTCTTCTCATTTGCCCTTTTGTTTTAGAATACTTCCATTGCATATTATCATTTAGGTAGCTAATGTTGTGTGTCAGAGGTGCTGGGATTGCATGGGAGCTGGCACAGTGGTCTAACTGGAAATAAAAGATCTGTTGATCCAAAAGTACAGTTGCAAATCTGGTTGTTGCTTAGCTGC